TGCAACAACAACGTCGGGCAGAATATATTTTATGATTATATTCTCATATTCCCCCCTCCCGAAATGTTTCCTCAAAATTCTATTTCAATTTCTACGAAATCCGACTGGCATCGTTAACTCTTTAAGAGTTAGAAAGGAAGAACTGGAAATTCCAGACCCAGAACCCAGCCTCGCGGCTGTAGGTATAGACTACAGTCTGATTCGGACTTGTGGCTGTAACACCACTGACAGGGGGAGATTTAAGAGGATGGGGTTGCGTGTCTCTTTTAGGGGAGTTTGTCTTGTGAGGGAGAAACACAGGGGTGAAGGTATGAGACTTTTGAAGGGCGGAGATAGGATAGCCTGCTTAGGGGTAGAACAGTCATAACATAAGCTGTGTGTTCCCGTGCTTCGTAGAAGCTGTATCATCCCCCGACAAAGCCACTGAACGAACTTTATTAGCCACTGTGTTATCGCAGAGATGCTGTAGGCTGAAGGAGAAGATGGCTCAGATGTGGTATGTTTTAGAGCAATGACCGAAACAGTTGCTTCGAGGTGAGATTTGACGCTTTCACGACGTTCAAAACAGGCCTCTGCATTGTGGTGTTATGGATTGTGACGCCGTATAGATATGTAAATGTGTAACAGCAATCCGGAGAAACATACTACGTCCATCAGCATTACTGAAGGCGAAGACAATATGTTCCTCCGAAATATTACTACCCTTCTACAAGCCAAAAACTGCGTCACTAAAAGTGATTCACGAATAGGAAGTGACGTGATATTACAGTGACGGACAGAACACGAGGTCAGTTAGGAATTCCGGAAGTCTGGGACGCTTACCAAATTTGCGTGGCGTCGTTCGCTGCGCAGCGCGCATGCACGCACACACGATATATTGACGTCGGTGTGCAAGGCTACGTCGCTGAGGAGAGGGTGATGTGTGTTCTGATTGCATCACTCTTCTGAATTGAACGCGGGAAATGCGTAAGCACAGACCAGAGCAAGCTAAGCTACCATCACTTAAGAAGTCAGGCTTTGGTACCTGAATACAGAAAACAGGATAAATATCATAGGAAATACACCGAAAGACCATTAATATACAGCGAATGGACAAATGCCTACTCTGTACGTGTAAAGTGGTGTTAGTAGATTAGACGACAGATGGCAAGGCGACGTTTCGATGACGTGCACTGCTGTATGAGTATTATATTAAGTTTAAAAAAAACGAGGATCTAGCATATAATCTTCAGATGATATACATAGATTTCAAGTTCTCAGGGCGGCGAATATGAAGATGACTGCCTTATGGTTTGTAGCGCCACAAGATCTGGAAGGGGTTTAACGACGTTTCAGAGGTTTGCCTCTATTGTCGGAGCGGTGGGTCATCATCAACCCAGAAGACAGTCATCTTCATGCTCGCCGCCATGATAACGTGAAATGCAAAGTTTTTCGTACTTGTAGAGTTTGGTTACAAGATGAAACATTATCTTAAACTGAGAATAAAGGATCACTCTACAAAATAAGTAGACACTTATAATGTTATAGTTGTATAATTATTTCTGCAGATAGAACAATTTGAAACACTCTTTTGTTCTATTAATACACAAGTCCTCTTTGATGACTTTAAATGAATACTAAAAAAACAGCTCCTTCGACAAGGGCTTACTCCAAAACACATCAGCTTCTAATCTTAAATGTGTAAAATATCGTTACCATGAACAACCTTGTTAAATTGCATAGGCCTAGATTTATAAAAATATATTCATGAGGAGTGTCGCTGCATAATACATCATTACATTAATAAATTTAAAAACAGCGTCACTTAAACATATCACGTGTGATTAAGTTAAGAATCCTTGTTTACAAAATAACATGCATTTTAATAAGCCTAACATACAACATGTTAAACCAGCTGCTTCCAACAACTCTCATAGTTTGTAAGTGAGTTGTAATAGACATAAAAATAATATTTTAAATAAATATAAACTCGGTTTTTTCCTGCGCGATGTCAGGCAGACAATAGGTACCTTAGCCTGGCCGATCCGTTAAGGCTTCGGTAAGCTTCGTGGCTGCGCCGTGTAGATAACTTACTTAAAAGTAACAGATTAATAATTCACATACAATCTTCTTCTATAATACCCACAAGTATGCAATGTAAGCTATGCCAGTTCTTATGGACTTCGAAATGTGATACCCTCATATCGGTTATATATAAAGTTTAAAAAATACATTTACGGGAAATAATTTCAGTTATGCGAGTGTATGTTAATTTGTGTTGATGTGTGAGACATAAAAACAAATGAACGAAATGAATGTGAGAGATATTTTTCAGTCTTGCAACACTAAAATAGTTCAACACGAACACAATTAAAAATTATTTGCATTTACAGATTTATTGTCAGTGCGAGGTTATTACTCCTCACGAATTGTAAAAACTCATTTAAATCATTTTCTGTGAGTCCGGACCAAGATCTAAAATTTCCCAACACAGTTAAATTGAGGCAATTTTTCATTATCAGCTGAACTGTTGGCATACTCAAATACCCTCCGTTGTCGATGACAAACTCAGTGACATGTTTAAATCCGCCAAATGTTAAAAGCCGCCCAACGAACACGTCATCTACTCGGTCCATACCCACAACATAACATATTTCCAAATTAATATAGAGATGTAAGAGAGAGCAGAAATCATATGCTCCCCAGTTTTGCTTCAGTCTTATTTCTCTAACGCTTTTAAAGTGCGGTAATTCACGATCGAAAAAATTATGTTCCGAGCCCGTCATTTGACTATAAGCAATTATGAGTAACTTCAAAACAGGGCAGAAATATATTAGGTTGTCAATGTCAATGTTAACAACTTGGTGCATGTCCACTCTTGTAAGTGTCGAGCCCATATCTGTAATGGCGGCACGTAAGTTGATAACAGTGCTGCTGCATTGAAAAAACGATATGGCATTAACACTCTTTAATTCTTTTAGACCTGAAATATCATTTGAGATTGAAAGTAGAATCACGTGCTTAACATTTGGGCAAATCGGTGCCACTAGACTTGAATTCGATATGCTTCCAATAATTTTCCTTACAGAAAGGAGACATCTTGCTACATACGTTAGGACGATGTCAAGATCATCGTACCAAATGATATTCTGAACCAACGGCAACCTCGAAAGAAGAGTTATGTAGCCTTCGTTAGAAATAGAAGTGTTCGCGACGTTCAGATTAACCAAATTTGCCAGTTTTAATAAATGTTCGACAGAATCATCATCTACAAAGGCACAGTCTTCGACAAAAAGTTTGGTCAGTTTAGTGCAATATTCTGACAACTTGATAACAATTGCGTTAGTGCAGGTAAGACGCAGTTGGAATCCCTGCAGATCAATCAAACTCGGAATTCTTTCCAGAAGTAGCTGCAAGCAATATTTATCACATATTACAGACAGTTGTAAATCAATGACTTTTGGGTTAAGGTACAATAGATTCACTATTATTTCCTGTACGAATGCTGAATCTACATTACGTATGTTGCATGTGTAAAGGCAAGGTAGAAGAACGGATTTCAACATATTGATACAAATGTTGCGATTAAGCTCTCTGTCATAACTTGTGTTAAGTCGGGGTACGACTCTGAAGTTGTTAAAAGAGGATAAAACTTTTATCAAGTTCTCGACGGATTGAGCGACAATTATATCTAAAACGCCAGGCACTGGCAGAGTAGCCAGAAAACCACGCAGTTGCGCGCACTCCTCCTGCACAATCTTCATCTCCAGAAGCCAATGTTGTCTACCCTTTACGACAGCAGAACGCAATTTGCGAGTCCATTTTATAGCCACGTCTCGAATCATGGTGCATAATTTGTCATTTGCTTCGGATTCTAGGCTTGATGGTTCCTTTCTTTTGTTCATGACTCCTGAAATAAACAATATTTACTTAATATTTTAGCACGAAATATGGCCAAGTTGCTACTGTGCTCAAATGTCCAACAGAAACCAGCACCATTAGGTCGCTAATGCGATTTGTCAGACGCCATTCAAAGGAAACAACACGAATTTAACATTCACGACATAAGTAACTACTTAGTAAATACAGATTTACTTAGAGGGAACTTTCTGTACTATCGTATAGTGTATCTGAATCTTATGCCAGTCTTTGTCAGATATTCTGGCAGAAAAATAAGGAAATATACAAGCAAAGTCACTGGTTCAAATATTCTGGAATAAGAATGTAATAACTGTATTAAGGGAATCACAAATCATGAAATCACCACGTCTCTAAAATTAAATAGACTTGAGATGATAAAGTTGCGTCATATTGTGATATAATAAATATATATTGTTTAAATCTTGTCCGTCTAATCACAATAAATTCTTATTAAATATTAAAATATTACAATAATTAACATTTAAAATATTTAAAATATCAAATGATGTTCTTTATCGAAATATTCGATTTACATTAGACCATCATTTAAAATATTTTAAATGTTAATTATTGTAATATTTTAATATTTAATAAGAATTTATTGTGATTAGACGGACAAGATTTAAATAATATATATTAAATAGACTGTCATCTTGATAACATGTACACAATTACTAACGCAATTAGATATCATGGACAGACTTGAACAGATTCACAATATTGACAAAAAAAAGTGCGCACAGCTTTTGTTCCTTTCAGGCAAGAAAGCAAAATAAATATTAATAACATTTTAAAACTTAGAATGTCTTAACCATTTAATTTTATATTTGATTTAAATATTCTTTTAAAAGGAACATTTTGATCGGCCATATTATCTGAAGTCTTAAGCCTGCGCGGAAACCAAACTCAATAAAATCCTCTCGGCCGACCAGAAGCGATAACTGATTAGAATAAGAGACCGACGTTTCGGTAACCACCTCCGTCCCCAACATCAGGGATTGATATGACTGGGTGCCTGTGATGTGATTATAAGCAACTGTGAGGTTTTTCCAAACAGTACAATAGTTGTCAATATTTATGTTAACAACTTGGTACATTTCTAATTTTCTGAGAGTAGACTCCATACTGCTAGTTGTACCAAAATTAATAGTGATAAAGTACTGTACACTTAATCCGATCAAAAGGGTACATATCAGTAAATAATTATTTTTTGCCGTTCATGGTAAAAGAATAAATTAGTAATATTTCGTAATGTAGCTAAATGAGTCCTATAGTGGATGAGTATGTCGCATTTCTTTATACAGTTTATCAAATATGACAAGAACACATGAGAACCTTAACATGACTATTTCCTAAGTTTTTATTTATTAATGGTTTATGTAAATATGATCTCAGCAGATAGATTATGTGGCATCTAATGACAGAATAATTAAAACCAAATTTTTTTTAAAGTAAACGGTCGTGACCTGGTGCATTTGTTCTGGACGAACTGAGGAAAATCACGAAAAGCCTGAGTAAAGATATTTGAATTGAATAAAAATTTTCTTGGATATTATCCACCGTCTAGTAAATATAAAACGTAAGTTGGGCCCACTAGATAGAGCTAATCCCGGAGATAGGGATTAACTCTATCTAGTGGGCCCAACTGTGTAGGAACCTGAAGACGGAGATAGAATCCCATCTCCGAAACGTCGTTTTACGTTTTATATTTACTAGACGATGGATAATATCCAAGAAAATTTTTATTCAATTGACTCTTCACCATCATCAAGAAGTTTTAGATTTGATAAAGATATTTGGCTTATAGGGTGAAATTTGAAGCAGGGTTTTAATAGCTGGGACGAGACGTTGTTGTCAGCTTGCTTAACAAATATAGCCGGCTTTAGAATTTAGCTCGATGAGTAAAGTGGAAAGCATCATAAATGCTGAAATTATATCTGACCCTTCGACAGTTGCCTCGCTCGTTTAGTCAAGTGTGCACTTCCTCACGACTAGAATTTTCCACAACACGCAAAACACAGTCCGAGGCGGAGACGTATTCTAACCCCAACTTTCGTATACTTCGACGATCACGATGTCGACCGGTGCCTTCTCTAGAGCGATGCGCATTCCTTCCTCGGAATGACTCGATTCTTAGCCAGGGTGGTGCCTGTTTCGTTTGAGTTTGTCGTCGTCTTCCTAATTCTGTCTAGGAAGATTATGCTATAATTGGCCACGACCACTGAATCGATATATCTCTAATCCTATAAACAGTCGTCAAACACACCCCCGGTGAAATTACAAGGTAATCATTGACACTGAGCTAGAAATAATACCAGTGAAAACAAGTCTTTACTTATTTAAGAACTTTCCCACAGTTTGCCTCGGAATTATGAACGTATAAGTTTACGAGAAACGTCTAACGTTTCTGTCGACAATGTTGCAATACGCTCCGTTGTATTTTAGCAAATAATAAAGACAACGTATAATGTTCCGAAACAAAAGTAGAGCTTATTTTCAGTGTACGAGTTTATCATTCTAAATCCTAAAATGGGTTTCTCGGAAAAATTAAAGCAGCTACAACATGAATTCTAAAAAAACAAAATAAAAACATAAGTATTATGACGTATAACATATTCACGGCGTAATAATGATCAAAATACTGTTTATTAAATGCTTGGAACACAAACAAAACACGAATGAATGAGCTCCGACACTTGTTTCAGCCCCCACAAATCGCATGGGTCATGTTTCTGTTACTGAAGGTTACGTATTACGTAAAATGGTTTCTTAGGTTTGAATTACAGCAGTACTAATATTTAAAAATAATTAACGAAGCGAATTGTTAGATGTAGAAAAATACTGCGACAGAAACAGTAGATCTTACAAATACAAACCGCAAGGCTAACTTAAACATCAAATGCAAATTCCCTTTCAGTTTGAAACCAATACATTATTTGAAGATTTCTGTCTTCTGGGTTGTTACCCTGTGTAGTCTGGTCGATATTAACCAACGTTTCAGAGGTCATACTGCCTCCGTCATCAGGGCGATGAGTATGAAGATTTCTGTCTTCTGGGTTGTTGCCCTGTGTAGTCTGGTCGATGTTTACCAACGTTTCAGAGGTCATACTGCCTCCGTCATCAGGGCGATGAGTATGAAGATTTCTGTCTTCTGGGTTGTTGCCCTGTGTAGTCTGGTCGATGTTTACCAACGTTTCAGAGGTCATACTGCCTCCATCATCAGAGTATGAAGATTTCTGTCTTCTGGGTTGTTGCGCTGTGTAGTCTGGT